TGCAATTTGCTACAATCTGGATAGAACTGGAGGGTGTCATACTAAAGTGAAGAAAAGGACTCAAAGGAGGGGCCGGACCAATAGCTCAGCGGGTAGGGCATTTGCCTTGCACATGGCTGATCCGGGTTCGATTCCCAGCATCCCATATGGTCTCCCTAGCACCACCACCAGGAATAATTCCTGAGTGCAAAGCCAATAGTAACCCTTGTGCATCCCCGACCCAAAAAGCAAAAAAAAAAAAGACTCAAAAAAAAAGACAGACTCATTCATATACGGAATATAAAGAAGAAAAGCAAGGATTAAGGCAATGCCCAATGGAAACAAACCTGAGATACAGACACAGGCCCTATAACCCGAGGTGCTAACAAGCCGGGAGGGGCAGGAAACAGCTGGGATAAGGGGAGGAACCCTGGCCGCCCTCTGGGAGTGAGGGCAGCTTAGCAGAACAGCAAGAGTAAAATTCAAATACTGGCACTTTTGGAAAAATGTCGTAAAAAATATCCAGCGGCCAACAATAAGTAATAAACTGCAAAGGGGGAAAAAAAATCCTGAGATCTTGGATCTAATGATTTACAACTCCGAAGCACTTTGTTTAAAAGGACGGGCTGAGTAGAAGGCAAAGGGCGCTTGCCTTGCGGATGCCTGACCCCACACTCTGCACACTCTGGAGGGACCCCAGAGCCCTGCCAGGAGTGACCCCTGGGCACCGCTGGGTTTGGCCACCCCAAACCCTAAATAACAAAGTAAATAAAAGGAAATTAATTTTATAGTAAAATAAACTCAGACGAACACGCATCACTGAACATGAAAGGTGACAACCCGGGTTCTTTCTGGTCCATTCTTTACAAAGATAATAGAATTTTAAAATTTTAAAAATGAATTTTCCTGTCACAACACAGTTTAAATACATTTCCAGAAAGCCAAAATTAATTGGTCAAAATTAATTATGTGACTTCCTGTAAGTGAACGGTTCTTTCTTTCCAAAAGAACCGAGCTTAAACTTTGTATAAAAAGCTTACAGAAGGTAAGTAAAATCTGACCAAAGAAATAACAGTTGCAGTCAGGTTGTCAGCACTGCAATGGAGATGTGCAACCCCAACACTATCACACTTGTGTGACCCGGTCATTGCAACAGCGGAAAAACAAAAAAGATGTTGGCGGTGTGACAAATCCGTTTTCTCCAAGAATACATAGGAGGTAGGCGCTTTTCTCATCTAATTATTTACTCACCCACATGAATGCTATCTATAAACTAAGTACTGCAGTTCAAGTGAAATCTAAAAAGTCCATTCTTTGTCCTTGAGTGTGTAGTCATATACCACCAATAAGCAAAGAATTAAGACAGTCTAGATAGTACAACAACTGGCTGTACAAAGCAGCATAGAAAAAGGCACTTCGTCATTTTGTTAGGAGACAAATATCACCAACGAACTTACCTTTAAACAAGAACCTAAACAATAATTTAGATTCATACAGAGAGCGGGAATTCAAAACGCTTGCCCTGTACACACACAGCTGGCCCCAGATGTATTCTGGGAACCACATATGGTCCCCAGAACACAGCCAGGAGTAATCACTCAGCAGAGCCAGAAGTAATTGCCACAAGTTGGGTGTGGCCCAAAAGCAAAAAAAAAGAGAGAGAGAGAGAGAATAATTCGTTTAAGCTGTGCAAATGAGCAAGAGAAAGTGAATATAAAAAGTAAAGATTCCACGGATAAGACTTCTTTAACTGTAGACAAATTAGTGAGTACTATCAAAGAATTACAAATAGTGTCCTATAAATGATGATGAATGGATAAAAATTGGGGATTCTTCAACATCATTTAGTCACTAGGAAAATGTAAATTAAAACCACAGCAAAGAGATGAACCAGGCCAGAGAAAAGAGTTCAACTGCCTAAGCGCATGTTTTGCAAGTGACAGACCCAAGATCAATCCCCAACAATGTCATCAGGGTCCCCTGAGCACCCTCAGAAGCAAATCCCTCAAAGCACAAAACCAGGAGGAGCTCCTGAAAAATACAGGGGATGCCTCCCCCAGCCCCCATCCCTACCACACCCTGCCAAAGGAAAAAAATAGTGGTAGAGGGGCTCGGGCCACTTTGGTGAGGATGAAAATACAGTAACAGTATATCAAAGCCACAAGTGGCAACACTGTTGTAACACTATTACCTCAACTATAAAAAATTTAAAAATACACAAAACCACAACAAGTCACTGGATACTCATGACAATGGCTAAAAATTTACAACAACAATTAAAAAAAATACCCTGATGATACCAAGTGCTATTAAAAAGGAATAGTTATAGACCACTGAGGTGAAAGCAAACAGCTACTTTGCAGAAACAGTCTGGCAGCGTATTATACAATTACAAATGCACTTACCATACATACACACAATGCAGCAATCCCACTCCTAAATGTTTACATGAATAAAATAAAAGTTCGTGTTTACACAAAAGCCCAATACATAAATGTCTATGGTGGCTATATTCCTAATTATCAAAAATTGGAAACAAGCTGAATGTCACTCAACTGAATAGCCAGCGAATAAGCAAAATGTAGCTCATTCATCCATACAATTATAGACCTACCAATATACAGAACAACAAGAATGAATCTTAAATGAAATATATTGAGTGGAAGATGCCAGACTTAAATGGCTACATTCTATATAATTCTATTTACAGACCATTCTAGAAATAACAAAATTACAGAGACAGAAAATCAATCAGCCAGCAGTTCCCAAGGGCTAGAGACAGGGGAGGGCCGTGGACAAAGAGGGAGAAAGCAACTGGGGATGGGGGTGGGGGGGGCGGGGGGGTGGGGATGGGTGAGGGGAGGGAACCGATGGACCCTTCCTTTAGCTATTGTAGGACAGCAGACATCTGTCAAAACCCACAGACCCGCACACTAAACCAACAAATTTCACTATTTATAACATGTACTTATGGTTTTAATTTTAAAGGAAAGCAACAAATTAAAAGAAAGAAGGATGGGTTCTGGCAACAGAGATAGGACTGAAAAATTATAGAGGACTAAGTCCCATTAAGAAGAATCCTGCAAAGAGGTTTCAGATTTTATCCTCAAAGCAACAATCTAGTGCTATGCTATGAAGAACATAATACCACAGAAGACTGGAGTAAAACAGGAAGCAAATGGGAGACCCGTAAGTCAACCACTGCAATACTTCAGGGGTTAAATTACCAAGTCCCGACTAAGGAAGAGGTAATAGAAAGTAGATGCAGTGAACGTAGAAAGTTTTAAAAGGTAGAAAATTCTCAAGTTTCTATAAACAGTAAAACCACTAACCAAACTGGTTTGAAAAATATTCTGAACTAAATTTAAATGGCTGTGCAACATTTAAATACAGGCAACTGGTTACATATACTGATTTGCAGCTAGAAGGATTAATCTCAGATGTCATTTCAGATTTCAGAATCTGTGACTATGCTGCCATGAAAAATAGGTTAAGATCATGCAAAGTACAGGTACAGCATGAAAGGTAAAGTGAACCGTAAGAATTGCCAGTAACACGTGCATTTGGGGGCAGATAAGACAGTTTGAAATACAAATAAGCTGCCTTACTGAGTATACAGCAGCAGACTGAGGGATGGTTAAACTCAGGTGCACAGGAGCTAGGAGATGCAGCAGGGATGAAGGCTCTCGCCTCTCATCAACCAATCCAGTTCAACCCTGAACACCACAAAATTTCCCCCAATCACTGCCAAGAGGGTGTGGCCCAAACCCCAACACTCTCACCCCCCAAAATATTATGTAACCATTCCAATCTGAGGTCTCTCAAGCACTTTTTCATTGGTTTTCCTAATCTGTCTTTGGCTTGGCTCTACTAGGAAAACTTCCGGGACGTTGCAGTTATTCCTTATGTTCCCAAGTTTCATTTTCTACTTTTCATATTGTTAACATAGAGAAGGGAGAGCAAAGGAAGAAAAGTCAACCTATACATATTTTAATTAAACACAGGCACTCTACAGGTCAACTTACATAGTCCAACAACCTTTCCTTGCTGGATGGACAAGTGACCATTAAATTGCTTTAAAAGTTCTCTGGTATCAAATGAATTAAAAATATCAGCAGACCGATCTAATGATTCTAGTTCTCAACCACAGATATGCATTAAAAATGACCTGAAAAATGCCCTGCCACAGAGGCGGGGCGGGGGGGGAGGGGGGAGGGTTACTGGGATCATTGGTGGAGATTGGGCACTGGTGGAGGGATGAATATATAACTGAAACCCAAGCACGAAAGTTTGTAAGTCTACATCTGTACCTCATGGTGTTTCACTATTAAAAAAAAAAGAGAGAGAGACCTGAAATATCAGCTTTCCCAAAAGCTATCTTTTCCAACTCCAACTTTTGAAAATACTGGTTTAGGGAATCTCTGAGGTAAGAAAAGCACCAACTACTATCATCACAGACACACACACACACACACACACTCACACACACACACACACACACACACACCCATCTCAAGCTTAAAGGCAATAAAGTAAATGTAAAGGTTTACTTGGGAGTAAATTGAGTACAGGGAGTACTCAATTTATGACATTCTAAAAATACATCCTGATCCGTGGGAATCACTAATCCATCCAACCAAGAACATGCAAACACATTTTGTCTTTGGTTAACTAGTTTAAAGATGATTTAACTTCAGCAGAATCTAGAAAAAGGCAACGTAAAAAACTAGCACGGAAAATGAGTCACTGTCACTCTGCTATCCAGAGTGACAATGAAATTAAGCATAATTTACCCAGAAAAAACAGAAATTAACCAGAAAAACCTGGCTTAATTACAACTCAAGCATTAGCTTCAAACAGTATTTAAGCAATTCAAGATCCAACTTGCTGTAACAGAATATTCAGATTCTATGTTTTCAATTAACAAAATTTGTAAGATTCTATTTACATCATAAACATTATCAAAATAAGTAAAAATATTCAATAACAGCAAAGTGTTTTCCACCAACATTCACACTTACCCGTCTCTTCCCTTACTGACAATTTTTACTTCAAAGTAATAAATCCCACAGGCTGCTGGTATCGGATGTGTGGCTCGAACTGATGCTGCATCTTTTGGGGTTTTCCCATGACCTGCATAAATACAGGAAAATCAAATGAGATATTCAAATAAAAATCTTAAATAATTGAGGAACAAGCGGTTTTTAGAACGAACATACTTTCTGCTCTCATCTTTACAACTAAGTAAAGACATGTTTATTATAACCAAAATGCCAAGCATCGGTCACAAAACCTTCTCATAGGACTAGTTTTATAAAATTTCAGACTCTGAACCCATGAAAACTAGCAGTCCTTTGTGAAACTATTTGAAGTAGACAGCACAGTGCCTACCTAGGGCGTTTGCCTTGCACGCAGCCAGCCTGGCCGAGCTGGGTTCAATTCCTCCACCCCTCTCGGAGAGCCCGGCAAGCTACCGAGAGTATCTTGCCCGCACGCAAAGCCTGGCAAGCTACCCACGACGTATTCAATATGCCAAACACAGTAACAATAAGTCTCACAATGCCAAACACAGTAACAACAAGTCTCACAATGGAGACGTTACTGGGCCCGCTTGAGCAAATCGATGAACAACAGGAGGACAGTGCAATGCTACAGTGCTACTTTTTAAAATATATATAAATAAAGGTAGACTGTATCTTTAAGAGAAAAGAAAAAAAGGAGCATTTGGAGAAGATGAAATATCTTAACCTTTTAGGTCTAAATCGACAAATGAGTAAGTCCTAAACAACATTCTTTAACTGGAAGCATTGGTATCACTCGTATATTTTAGATGAAATCTTAGAAAATTACAGTCACTCCTATATTCTTAGAGGAAAAAAAAAAAGCTTCCTTAAAGAATTCACAGCTTTGTTCTCTGACATACCCATTAAAAAAGCAAAGGTTCACTTATAATAACATTTGTTCGGTCCATTACTGCCTACTGAGAAACATGGATCTAATCTCCAGTTTTGTAGTTCTTTTTAAAAAAGGGAACAAAACACCAAGCTACTGCTGACATCTTTGAAATGCGTTGCATAATGACATTTTAAGTTTTCTAAATTAACTATTCCTCAATTTTAAGCCCAGGGTTTCCCTCACCTCTCTGCTTCCCACACAGGTACAAATTACCTTACAAGGGGGGTGGCGGGAGAGAAACTGGGGCCACTGGTGCTGGGAAACGTACACTGGTGGAGGGACCGGTGTTGGAACACTGGATGACTGAAACCTGATCATGAATTGCTTTGTGATGGGTCTACTTCATGGCGATTCAATTAAAAAAAAAAAAGCGAGCATGTGAACCAAAGAGAGAGGGCTGGGAGACTGCAAGATAGGTCAAAGGCTGGAGTTTGATCTCTTGAGCACAGCTGTGGACGAAACAATTCTCTCCCCCCCCCCAATTTTTTAATTTAAAAAAGGGGGGAGTGACTCCCCAAGAAAGAAGAAAGTCCAAAGTTGAAGCAGTTTATCAAAAATAGTTGTAGAGCGAAGCAAGAATCCATAATCTCAGAACAGCAGCAACAAAAAAGTATGAAAAACAAGTTTCACTCTTCCTTCCGTAAACTGTAGAATGCAGTCCTTTGCATAACTGAATGGGGAGCGCTAGGAAAAATTGGGGCAATAGAGGTTTCTGAACACCCGACAAAATTAATTCAAAATCAAACGTATAATATATACCTGAGGCATTTCTGGCCGCCTTCACCTGAGTTGCACTTCTCAGTGGAAATGGGGTCATGCAAGAGTGGAGAATAAGCCACTGATCTAACTCATTATTCACAAGTTCTAGTGAAACAGGCTTCACCTAGTACCAACTTGTCCATCTCTCACTCATACACCTGCAGGGATGGCAGAATTTTCCTTCTCAGATTAACCACGATCGTAAATCTCAAAACTTTCTTTTAAAAGTTGCAACCAGGGCTGGAGCAATGGCACAAGCGGGTAGGGCCTTTGCCTTGCACTCAGCCGACCCAGGTTCGATTCCCAGTATGGTCCCCTGAGCACTGCCAGGGGTAATTCCTGAGTGCAGAGTCAGAAGTAACCCCTGTACATCCTCGGTGTAACCCAAAAAGCAAAAAAAAAAAAAAAAAAAAAAAAAAAAAAGGTTGCAACCAACAAACATTAAAAGTAAAAAACTGCATTTTGGCTATACAGTAACTAGCACAGACCATGTGAAGGCATATCTTCATTTACCTATCAAATTATTAACGCAGAGCCATCATTAAATAGCTTCCTGGGGCTGGAGCTATAGTACAGTGCTTGCCTTGTCCACGGCCGACCCGGGTTCCTGGAATACCTGAGCACCACCAAGAGTAATTCCTGCGTGCAGAACCAGATTTAACCCCTGAGCTTCACAGGATGTGGCCCAAAAACCAAAAATACATAGATGAATAATTAAAACACACACACACACATTTCACTTGCAATGCAAATCAGCACATAAAGTGAATGAACTCAGCACTTCTTCCTATTACCATGAAAAGGTCCCCACAAGACATCTCAACTGTTACAGTCAGAAATAAATTCTTAGCTGGGAGATGATTTGGGGTGATAAATGTGGCTATAAAGATAACATGGTTTCAGTAAGGCCCTCTTTTCAAAAAGAGTATGTTTAAATAATTGAGTGGCTTGGGGAAAGCCATGTAAATGAAATGCACTACCAAAATCTGCATAGTCAAAATAAATCTAAAAAGAAGATCCTGATTAACCCTGGAACCCTAAGTCAATTAGCTTTCATTAATGTTTTTGGCTTTTTGGGGAAAGAAACCTAAATGAGTCATCTCAACACATACTTGATAATAATAAACATCAACATGCACTCAATGCCTTGATAACTGTGCTATTCATTTAGTATGCCTTTATTTAGTTTTAGGGTTCCACTCGGCAATGCTCAGGTGTTACTCCTGACTCTGCACTCAGGAATTACTCCTGGCAGTGCCCCTTGGGATGAACACGGGTTGGCCAAATGCAACGCAAGCCCCCTACTCTTGCTCTAGCCCTCATTTAGCATTTAAAACAATTCACAAAATAGTAACTATTTCAGAGCAAAGGAAAGGAACTGTGAACTAGGAAAACAGCACAGGGCCAAGCTGCTGGGTGAAAGCTCCAAACCAAGACTCATGTGGGGATTTAAACACCTGTGAAGTCCAAGCTAGGGCCACGAATGAGTCGCTGGGTGTGTTAGGCCTGGAGTTCAATACCAACAAGAGGGAAAAGCCTGAGTCTGGGCAAGCTCCAGCCCACAGCAATGAGCATTCTGGGCCACTTCACATTTATTCCCTCCTACTGCCTGCTACTGCTATAGGAAGAACAAGAAATTATCTGAGAACAAGAAATTATCTGAGGACAAGCAATCTCTCAAAATATCAGATGCCTTTGTATAGATTTTCTTGTTATCTGTGAGATAATCATGCAATCTTAATTTTATTATTTCTTCTTTTTTTTTTTTTTTGTTTTGGGTCATACCCAGTGATGCTCAGCAGTTACCCGGGCTTTGTGCTCAGGAATTACTCCTGGCAGTGCTTGGGGGACCATATGGGATGCCTGGAATTGAACCCAGGTGGGCTACGTGCAAGACAAAGGCCTTACCTGCTGTGCTATCACTCTGGCCCTTTATTTTAAAAGTAGGATAAATTCCTATACATCATACTTTGACCAAAGATTAGTTTCTTTTTTTTTTTTTTGATTTTATTTATTTTTTATTTTTTAATTTTTGGGGTCACACCCGGCGATGCTCAGGGGTTCCTCCTGGCTCATGCACTCAGGAATTACTCCTGGCAGTGCTCGGGGGACCATATGGGATGCTGGGAATCGAACCAGGGTTGGCTGCGTGCAAGGCAAACGCCCTACCCGCTGTGCTACCGCTCCAGCTCCCCAAAGATTAGTTTCTTTATGGGCTGAAGCAATAGCACAACAGGTAGGACGTTTGCCTTGCATGCAGACAACCTGGCTGACCCAGAGTTCGATTCCTCCGCCCCCTCTTGGAGAGCCCAGCAAGCTACCAAGAGTATCTCACCCGCACGGCAAAGCCTGGCAAGCTACCCGGGACATGTTCAATATGCCAAACACAGTAACAAGTCTCACAATGGAGACGTTACTGGGCCCATTTGAGTAAATCGATGAAAAACAGGAGGACAGTGCAGTGCAGTTTCTTCATGTGTTCTAGTATCCATGTACAAATTAAAATCCCCTATATTTTTCCTTTATGAAACAATGACTATAAAGAACTACACAATCCTAAGTGTTTGAATTCTGTTCCAATATATCATGTATATCACAAAGGCACTGTAAAAAGATTCTGCTTATGTTCAGAGGATTTGCTTTACTTTATCAGGGAGAAGGTTTCAAGGTGAGATTTAAAAGCCTCATTCTTTAGGAGAACTTCTTGAATGGCAGAGTGAGGGGGTCTATCTCTCACAATGCTCAGTTCACAGAAAGTACCGTCACTTCACTATATTCTTGGACACCCTAGAAGCGTCTCCCCTTCACAAAGACTTAATTCTTCAAACCATGAAGTCTTCAATATTAAATGCTTTTGTCTAAATGGATGCTGAGAAAATACACTGATTACTCCACAACTCTAGGGCTAAACAAGGTTTGGCTCTTTGAGTCCATCAGTAGTTGCCGGCATCTGACTGCAACAGGGTTGAGATAAAGTCGGCTTCGCCTCCGCCTCCGCCCCCGCCCCCCCCCTCCCCCTGCAGCCAAGAGCCTTTCGGGAAATACAAACCAGCCTTCCTTGTGCTACTTTTCTTCAGTAAGACACTAAAATTTCTTCTCTCGTCCTCACAGCTCTGGCCACACGCACAGGCCCCAAGTCTTCTTCCCAGCGCCACCCTGCACACTGCTAAGCCCCGGGACAAGCAGGTTCTCCAGAAAACCTCATTTCATTCATCATCATTTCACCTGCTGACAAGGAAAGCAAACCACACATCCTCCCTAGCCTGCACCGTGTTCTCAGGGTACTCGGTCACCCCTCACACGCCAAAGACGTGGCAGAGGACGGTCAATGCTGAGTCTGAGTGACAGCGCGGGTGTCAAGTGCCCTGGGATGGAAACGCATCCAGTTCAGGCTGGTTCTGACTGTCCCCTCCACTGCC